CCCCACCCCCACCCCCACCCGACACTCCTTCCACTGGTGCCACCATCTTCTCCGCTTTGTCTTTTGGGTCTCACATCTCTCACCTCCTCCCATTGGGTGGATGTTTCTGATGTAACTATTGTCCCGACCATTTGATTGCATTCTTGGTATCTCACAAGAACCTGTAGAACATGTCAGCATTGTATAAATTTGGGAGATAAGTAAAGCCAGTCCTGGCCCCAGATTGCCTGGGAGCTGTAAGACGTCAGAGGTGCAGCTGCAGTACTGCGCGGTGCACATAGGCGCTACACAAGTGTCGCTGACATCAATTCAGATGTGTCCCGCTGTACAAACCTGAACACAGACACGAGAATTCATAGAAAACAGGATTTTATTCTCCTGAGGAAAGTGAAAAGAAAAAACGGTAATTTGAAATACACTTTGCTAAGATCAGGGCTGTACATACAAGGAAGGACAGGGGGTCAAGGGTACATCATGGTCTCTCTCGCGTATCACTCAGAAATATGATATTATCTGTAAAAGGAAACACAGTAGCAAGAAATCAGAAAATTAGTTCAGAATATAAACCTTCCCCGCACCCTGTGGTTGGTCTTAAATAACAGGGTCGAAAATCACGGAAAACAGTTTAAAGCTGATCTCCAGCTAAATACACAAATATAATACATATAAGGAGCTGTTTTACCAGCTTAATGGGTTTTTATTTCTGTCCATGCAGTCCCAAGATTTAAACAGCACTGACACATAGCACAGTCCTGTCTGACAGGGCAGGAGACCTGATTTTAACGGCTTCAGTTCAGTAACACTTAAAAGGTCTTGTCTTTTCCCCACCATGTGACTGGACAGTGAAAGGAGAAGCAGCAAACTAAAGAGGTAATTTCTCTTCTACTGTGCTCTCTCCTATCAGCTCTACAGCACACCTGATTGGCTGGCTCCTTGTGCTGCTTCACTCTCCTCCTCTCTGACCTCTGCTGTATATGGAATCGCTGATTTCTGCTGTATATGGAATTGCAAGAGGCTGATTTCACCCTCAGTCTTTTCTCCCTTCTCGTGTTGGCTACAGAGGTCTGTGAAAGGGACACAAAGCTCTGCAGCCAGCACCAGCAGGGAGAAGAGACTGTCCACACAACACTTACCGCCCGCCGCGCTACAAGTACTCCTGAAAATGCCCTGTATCGGGACATCCCTAATTTATTTTGTTTTTCATTTGACTGGAACTCGATCCGCCGGCTCTACAGCCGGCGGATCGCTTGTATGGTGACAGGCATCGCTGCCTGTTTTTAAAAAACGCCCATTTCCCGCTCGCGCGCGCCGAGCGGCGCGCGCGGGGGGGCGTGTCTGAGCGGACGTCTAAAGACGCCCGCTCAGATCTAGAGAGCTCGGGCCGGCCGTTTTTTTACTACGGCCGGCCCGGAGGTGGTTAAAAAAGAAAAAAAAAATTTCTCACATATTTTCTTTATTATGGTCAGGACTAAAAGAAATGGCATTAGAAATGAGGTAAATATGAAATAATACATATTAATATTATGCAACCTTTCATTAAACCAGCAGATGGAGCGATGGTCTCTGAAAGGAGTCCATTGTTTATAGATGTGGAATGAGTCATCAGTAACTCCTCATTTACCAGACATCTGAGGTTTCAATCTGAGAAAGGGAGGTGCAAAGCAATCTGCTGGGATATCTTCTCAGCTAACCCAAAGTTCTTTGGGGATTCTTTGTTATGAATAAATGTTCATTTCTAAAACAAAAATTGTATATTGATAAAAACAAGACAGAAACAACAGTTTAAAAAGACAAGTAAAGCCAAATCTTTTCTGGCTTTACCACTATTTTGGGTCACAGAACTACATTTACTAATATACTCCTGGGGTCCAAAGTCAGCATATTGCAGGTGCTGCTCATTATACGCTGAGCTGCGTTGCAGTCGGGAAGGATTCTGACAACATTGTCAGGATCCTCACCTCTGCCTCATTGATAGACAATTCTGAGCCTCTAGAACCAGAGCCAGCTGTGCCTGCCCCCTCCCCAGAGGGCTGGAGGAGCAGTGAGGGGGAGTGGGGGGGATCCCTGTGGGGAGCGGTGATTGACAGTCATCACTTTCTGCAGAGAGGAGACCGTGAGCTGAGTGACCTGCAGTTACACGATCGTTTAGCTCTTGGTATCCTCAACGGCTCAAAGTATTGGGAAGAGTATATTTTACTCTCCCAATACTTCTCCTTTAAACATTTTTAAGCATAAAAATATTAAAGCAGAACTCCGAGCAATTCAAATCTTAACCCTTGCAATGAAAGGGTTAAGTGCTCATTTTGTCTAGGGAGCTAAAACAAAGTTATACTCACCCGAACCGCGATCCCGGCTGTCTCTTACACTGCTGCTTCCAGCCTGTCTCCTCCTCTGCTCCAGAATGTCCCTTCACTGTCCTCACGTTCTATACACTGTATAGAATGTGATGATGCACAGGACCTTAGACTGCTTGAATGGAGGGGAAACGAGGCTGAAGGGACCGGTCTAAGAGCCAGCCGGAAACATGGTTCGGGTGGCTCTAAGGCCTTGTTGACACCAAACGCAGAGCAGATCTGCATGAGTTTCTGCACACGCAGGGCAGTGGGTTGTGCCGCGTTTTTGATGCGTTCCGGGCCGGTTTTGGTTTACAAAAAAAAAAAAATTATTTCGTTTAAAATGGGCTTTTAGTGCGTTCCAGGGTGTTTGCATGCGTTTTTTATGCATTTGCAAGCGTTCCAGAGAAGGTAAAATAGGGCCTGCTCCATTTTTTTTATACCTGCTCTGGAACGCTGCGATGTGAACTGGAGCTATAAATACCATTGGAATACATTGGACGCAGTTTTGCTCCGGTCTGTAACTGCTCTGCTCGCGGAACACGCTTGGTGTGAACAAGGCCTAACTGTTATTTTAGCTCCATAGACAAAACGAGCACTTAACCCTTGCAGTCCGGGGGTAGCCCCACTGCAATGGTTAATATTTGATCTATCTGGAGTTCTGCTTTAAATCAACTGAAAACCACTAACTTTTCATTTTAACTCTTCCCTGATAACTTCTTCAAAGAGAGAATATCAGTTGCTGACCTGGAACAAGTATGCAAAGCAGATCTGACGTCACTCTGACCATACTTGCTGCATGCATCCAGGTCAGTGACAAAGTACTGAAGCCACGGGTCCCCTCTAAAATGCCTAAAACGTTATATAAAATCCACATATGTTTAATGTACTCCACCTGAAACCTTTCAGTGCCTTTGGCAAGGTTGTGCTCATTTCACATTCCTGTGCATGCCATGTCGAATAGTTTTCTTTCACAAATGCCCAGAGCACAGCTGTCATTAAAAGAGAATCCGAAGAATACCAACCACACAGGAACATAGCCCCCGGGCACCTGCTGTAGATTTACGTGGCCTCAAACTATAGACAAAACGCATCAGCTATATTTGGAGATAAGCCTGAGAAACGTGGCGCGTTCTGGTGAACGGGGATGTCAGCCCAGTAAATATAGCGCATAGCCGGGGAGGAATAACGTCGCACCTTTAAAATTCAACTGGATGCTGAACTCCGAGGAAACATTTTCTAACCCCTTTCAGTTGGGCTACCCTGGCACTGCAAGGGTTAAGTGCTCATTTTTGTCTCGGTTCAAAAATGAAGTTATACCCACCCGATACTCGGAGCCAACTTGCTCTTAGACTGGTTCCTTCCTCCGGTCTCCTTCTCCGCTGCAGTGATGTGATGTCCCTCGGTCCCTACAGTGTTTAGAATGTGATAGACCACCGCAGAGGAGGGGGAAAGAACCAGCCGGCTCCGAGGATCGTGCGAGTATAACTTTGTCATTTGTAAACCTAGACAAAAATGAGCACTTCCCTTGCAGTGTAGGGGTAGCCCCACTGGAAGAGTTAAAAAAATATTTGGAGTTATGCTTTAAAAGCTGAACTCCAGACAGATTAAAAAAAAAAAAAAAAAAAAAGACACAAATGTATGCAGCTCTGCAATCAATCATACATGAATGAATGTATTTTTTATATGCAAGCAATGCAAGTACCTGATATTAATATCAGTCCCTGTAGAGAAGAGCTCAGACAGAAGAAGAAGCTGTACAAGGAGCCAATCAACTGTACTGCTTCAACTGTAGATACTTGCCGACAGGAATAGAGAGATGAGATCATCAATCTGCTGCTTCTCCTGTCACTGTCCAGTCACAGTCACAGTCTGGGGGAGGGACAAGACCTGTAAGTGCAACTGAACTACAGCTGAAAATGAAAATCAGGTCCAACCCTGCCAGATGCAGTTCTCATGGATGGAGATGAATACAAATCCTTTGGCAGATAAAACAGCGCCCATATATGTATCTCATATCTCTGTGTATCTAGCAGTTACCTGAAGTTCATGTTTATCAATTATTACTTAGGGAACTGTACATATTACTAATATATGTGAATACCAACTTTACTTCTGATAAAAAATATAATTCACCCCTCTATCTGTCCCCGCTGGGAAGATTCACCCATCTGTCTGACCCCGCTGGGAAGATTCACCCATCTGTCTGTCCCCGCTGGGAAGATTCACCCCTCTGTCTGTCCCCGCTGGGAAGATTCACCCCTCTATCTGTCCCCGCTGGGAAGATTCACCCCTCTATCTGTCCCCGCTGGGAAGATTCACCCCTCTATCTGTCCCCGCTGGGAAGATTCACCCCTCTATCTGTCCCCGCTGGGAAGATTCACCCCTCTATCTGTCCCCGCTGGGAAGATTCACCCCTCTATCTGTCCCCGCTGGGAAGATTCACCCCTCTATCTGTCCCCGCTGGGAAGATTCACCCCTCTGTCACCGCTGGGAAGATTCACCCCTCTATCTGTCACCGCTTGGAAGATTCACCCCTCATCTGTCCCCGCTGGGGAGATTCACCCCTCATCTGACCCCGCTGGGGAGATTAACCCCTCATCTGACCCCGCTGGGGAGATTCACCCCTCATCTGACCCCGCTGGGGAGATTCACCCCTCATCTGACCCCGCTGGGGAGATTCATCCCTCATCTGACCCCGCTGGGGAGATTCACCCCTCATCTGAACCCGCTGGGGAGATTCACCCCTCATCTGACCCCGCTGGGGAGATTCACCCTTCATCTGACCCTGCTGGGGAGATTCACCCCTCTATCTAAGAAAAAAGAAAAGGCTAGTTGCACTCCTTACCGGTATGACCCTGTGATCTGGGAGGGGTGCTCGGAGTGACTGCGGATGGCGCTGCCAAATACAGAAAATTGCAATTTTCACCCCTCTATCTGTCCCCGCTGGGGAGACTCACCCCTCTATCTGTCCCCACTGAGATTCACCCTTCTATTTGTCCCGGTGACCATTGACACAAAGTTAAATTGATTGGAAAATCCAAAATTTTACAGTTGTTATAAGAAAGAAAGAAAGAAAGAAAGAAAAGCAGCCTAAAAGTGGTCTGCAAGCAAACACAGCCTATCTAGGAAGTCCCTCTCCTCCAGACCATTACTCACCCATCAAGGCACTTTGATATT